AAAACAGCTCTTCCTGAGAAAGATATGTAGTTGAGTTTCAGTTCTTCACATACAAACAAAATAAGGCAAGTATTGTTTGATTATGTTTTCTGCGTTGTGTCTCCGGGGGAGGCTCCCATGTGGCCTCTTAAAAAAAAAAAAAAAAAGGTGGTCTTTATGTTCATGTCAGAACCGGCCCATTTTTTTCTCGGTTTGCATCCTTTTCGAAAACATGGAGGAACGAGAGCTCAATATTGCACAGTCCCACGTTTCCAAACGTTCCAGTTGGAGAAAATATAAGATTGTGCTCATGTGGTCATTGTGCACTAATTCGTTGGTGGGAAGCCCTTAAAAAGATTAATGTTGCATTCACGTTGAGCTTCTCTACGCCTACCGTGCAATTGTGAAAATGTTAGTACACAGGCGTGAAGAGCGATGAGGCCTCTGGGCGTTTGTGTTTAAAAACCTACTTTTATACTGGGGATAGCACTTTTTTAAAATAATTTATGAGAATTGTCCTAAAGGATTTCTTCCAACTGAACACCAGTGGGCTTATTTTATCCACTGGGTGCCAAACTCAGCCAGGTTTTTGCGAGATAAATTTGTCCTCAATGTTTAACATTGTGACTGCGATTGATGTTGTCTCTCCATCCGTAAATAGTAGAAAATACCAGTTTATAACTCAAACAAAGTGTTTAAGTGTGGAGCTAACAGTGAAACGCTGCCGTCAGAGCTCAGTTGAAGAGGACAGAGTTGGTCCTCGGATGCTTTGCACTCCCTCAGCAGGTGAATGTGCTGAAATAGCTGCTCACACCAACAGAACAAACACCCAGTTTCTCTGATTGAGCGGCTCCCATCACGAAAAGCTCCAGCTCACTCTCATTAGTTAAACGTCCCGTCGCCGAGTTTCACTCAGTTTTCTCTCTGGTCCACTTGATCATAGTCTCTGGCGAGCGGTAGAGGAAGATGAGTTTGGCGTACATGTCCTCCTCCAGGTCCAGCTCCCCCGTCTCTCGCACCAGGAAGATGTCGGTGCACAATTTGAGGATGCGGTCCACGTTGGGCAGCTCCTCGAACATGATGGTGTGGGAAATGCCGCTGAAGAACTCACGCACAAACTTGCCAATGACCAGAACCACAGAGGCATACAAGCCCATGATCCTAGAGAGGAAGAGAGACAGAATATTAGACCTCCACCTCCACCATCTTCCACCACTCTCTGACTGTTCTGTATCATAGTTCCCAGCATTATTTTGTTTGTTTATTATCTAGATTTTTTTGTGCTCCTGTTTTCCCCTAAATCTTCCTTGTCTGCATCCAGTTCATTTTATACCCCGTTTACACTCAACAGCCCCATTTATAACTGGTCATTCATGTTTTTTTGTTAACAGGAGACATAAGACACCTACTGTCTATGTATGAGCGAGTAACAGATTCTCTCTTGTAGTTACAGGTAGAAAAGTCTTCCTTTTATTTCACTCTACTTTTTATATTGTCATGTGACTATAAAAAGGATGAGGTTCAAAGTTCATTACAAACCTGTGACAAGTTATTTAGAAGCTTTTTGAGACATCTCATCAGCAGATGGAGTTCCAGTTTTTATCACAAGATCTACTTCAGAGTTTCCAGTAATATGAAACCACATCATGGCTTTAAATGTGGATGAAAACATCTGGAAGTGCTGCACAAGTCATCACTTCTCATCAAACATATTTTTCTCTACACTATATCTCCTTACCAGCGACAGCTGCTCTGTTTGGAGTCGTGTTGGGTTGGAAACACATGTTTAAAGGTCCACTGTGTATCATTTATGAGGCTCTATAGGCAGAAATGTAATATAATATTCATAGGTATGTTTTCATTTGTGTATAATCACCTGATTATAGGAATTTGATACCTTAAAATGAGCTTTTTATCTACAGAGGAAACAGGTTTCTACAGTAGCCCAGAAGGAACAAACCAAACAGTGGCTGTTGACAGGGTTGTCAAATACAGTGTTCAGTTAGTTTCAATCTGCAACTTGACCACTAGATGCCACTAAATTCTCCACACTGGTCCTTTAAAGCAGGTGTTGTTACTCTTTCAGATTCATATGTGCTCAAAAGAACTACAGGATGGTAACCTCATAACTCTGATTTGAAGAAAATATTAAGTCTGTATTTTCTACGCGTCGATTTTTAAGCTGAGTGGTTTCCAAACTTTTGTAGTTTGTGACCCCTTAAAGGACCAGTGTGTACAATATAGTGGCATCTAGTGGTCAAGTTGCAGATTGCAACGATTTGATGACCATTACTCTCCAAGTGTGGTAAAAAAACCTACTGGTTGCTGCAACAACGTAACGCAAAATTGTTTAAGTTAAGGTGTTCTGGTTTGCCAGTTCTGTGGCCTATAATATTATATGGCATTTCTGCCAATAGATCCTCCTAAAGTACCACACTGGACCTTTAAAACGAAGCAACAACTCATCATCACCTAGACGAACACATGTTCAACTAAATATTCAAACTGTTTTATTTAAATACTTTGCAGGAGCCTGAAGATGCAAAATTATCCAGTAATTACAAGAAAATATGTAGAAAATTATTATTAATTACTTTCCTTCTCTGTTAATCACCTTGTGACCCTTCAGATTTATCTCACAATTGCTTCCCATAACAAGTGTAGGTTCAAATCACCATGCTGATGAAGGGAATACCCACCAAATCTTTGGATAACAACATCAGATAGTAACTAAAATGTGAAACATTTCCTGATTGTAAACACATCACCACGTACCCATATCCAGCCAGAAAGCCCAAACTGGGCGGGCTGACTTGGTCGCTGAATACGTAGACCTCCAGTCCTGCTTCATGGTTAGACCGCTTTGGTATCAGGCCGGGCTCTGTCTGATTGACCATCCACCATTCCTTCCTCTCATTATTCAAGGGCTCCATTCGATTCAGTATCAAATTTATCTTTAACAGCTCTTCACCTGCATATATAAAGAAAGAAATTATGTGATTTCCTCATAATAAATCTGATAAAAATGCAAATAGTGTCAGACAGAACACACAATCTCTATCTCCCATCCACAGAACCAAAACATTGTCTGTAAACAGGGAAACTTATTTAATAAAAACAAGAAATGTTGGAGGAAATGAATGAAAGAAGTCAGATTTCTACTTTATTAAGAAATATTATGCATTCATTTTGATACATTTTTTAAAAACAACTATTTCTTTAAAGCCACTATATGTAGAATCTTATTATAATTTTAACATATTTCATATGACTCTTATACAAAAAGAAAAGGAAAAGTTAGAAATCTTAAAATTTTAAACATAGTGGCTTTAAATAATCCTACAAAGATTTAAGAATAGGTGTCAGTTTATTGATGTTTTTACATTAAACAGAGGCTCCTATGTTTCCTTTGCTGTCATCAAATCAAATAACAACTACACAAAAAGATGTTGACCTTCCATAAGCTCCTTAACAGGTTTGGCATCTGAGTCACTGGGGGCCCGAAGATAACGAGGGAAGATGTCCTTTAGGATCCTGCAGAGGGAAACACAGCTTGTGTTACTTAGTTTCTCAATATGTTGAAGCAAAGCAATAAAAAAATAAACTATTTTGCCTCAGAGACTGTTACAGAGTTTTATATTATAGTATATTTTGTTTTCATATTAACTGTCGTCCTGTTTAATGGTGTATAAAATCCACTCTACCAATTCTTTAATAGCTAACTTTGTTCTCTCTAAAGTTAAAATTTGCCTCTAAAGCTGTAAATATAACTCTAAAGCTCACAGATTAACAATTAGTAACAATAACTATGTATATAACATTTCTATTTGTGTACGGATTAAACAAACGAGACACATTGGTGTTGATCAATGAACTTTAGAGGTGCAGTTTTGGGTATTTCCAGGCTGTTTCCAGTCCTAGTAGTAAACCAGCAGTGCTCAAACTTTTTCTGTCACACCACCTACATCCAACAAAAACGGATTTCATTTTTATGAATCATTAACAAATCAAATCCAATCCAAGTGTCCTTAGGCAAGATAATGAACCCCAAACAGCTCCCGATGGCTGCTCTGTTGGTGTGAGTGTGGGTTTATGGGTGAGCTATCATCATCATCGAGCTGATATACTCACACATCTGATCTGTTCCCCCACAGGAGTTCTACGAGTTTTTCTTT